TATATATATATATATATATATATATTTGATGCTATTTTTAATTGTGTATGATGTTATTTTTAATTTTACATGGTGCTATCATTTTTACAAATGCTAAGTTGCCATTTTTAATAAAATACATTCTGATTAAAAATAGCACTAAATACAATCAATCATAGCACTGCATACAATTAAAAATAGCGGTTCTCACGCTAGGACTTGGTTCTCATTTGAACCACATCCTATATATATATATACACAAAGAACTTATGAGATAAGTTCCATTTAAAAAAAAAAAATTGTCTTACCAAACTTATCTTTATATAGAAAATTTATAAATTAACTAAATAAATCATAAGGTAATTTATGGTGTTTATTAAACACACTCTTATTTTATATTTTGGCTCTGCCCGTACTCACATATTTTTTATGCCCATTAAAACCAAAAGAACAAATAAATATATACATTTATACCATTCATGTTGTACTCTCTCCTACTTTTAATAAATGTCGTTTTGAGAAGTTGCACAATAATTAAAAATATTTTTTTGCTAATAATAACCCTCATTAATAAGGATATAAATTGATGTTTTGAGAAAAGATGAAGAGTGAATATGAAAAAATTTATTAGTTAGATGAAATATGTACAAAATAGCTAAAACGATATTTATTTAACAAATGATCAATTAGACCAGGATGACAAACAATAAAAATAGGAGGGAGTATTTTTTTTTTCTGAAATTATAATATCTTCAAATAAAATAATTTACTGAAAAGAAAAATATGTCAGTGTTAAACCCACTCATAAAAAAGAGGAACCTGATATCAGTGCGTGTGTGTGTATTGAAGGTCAACCGACCCTTCCTTTTTTCTGTGGTACACTTTTTTGGTCTTATGTATATGTGGGCTTCGAAGACTCCACACATAGTATTGCGGGTATTATCTTTACTTTGTTTGGCCTTTTCATTATTTCCTCTGTCTATCCTCGTCCTGTGCACACAAGAAATAAAACAAGAAAATAAAACAAAAATCGTTTTGAAATTTGAAGCCTTTTTAACCCTCTCCTTGTCTCTATTTTGTTCTCTTCAGCTTTTTTCTTGTAGGGCATGAAAAAAAAAAGCTATCTTTTTGCAAGTCAAGCATGCAGATAGACATAGGGATAAAGGAAGATCAAGGAAATGAAAAACCCATCTGCAAAATAGGGTTTTCTTGAGCCTTTTCAGCTGCCCTCNAGGAGAAAAAAGGGTGATTTTTATTTTTTTGTAATATTGTTTCTTGAGTAAGATTTTGGTGTAGGGGAGGAGAGAGAGAGATTGAGAAGGAAGAGGAGAAGCAAAATAAGAAAGAAAAAATAGGACTTTCTTGTTTTGCTTACCTTCTTTCTCTTTCTTTCTCTCAGTGTAGGATAAAAGGAAGCTTTTTTAAGCTTTTCTCATTGTTTGAGAGGCAGCTTGAGACATTTGGGATTTATAGGCCTTGTGTCTCTTCTACCTCTCTTTACTTATTTAAATTTCCTCTTTTTTTTTTTATTTTTTATATTGATTATTTTCTTCTATTTGGCCTTTTGGGTCCTTGTGACTGTGTGTTAGTGTGTGTGCAGAACGTGTATTAGCCAAAAACGTTGTTGACATCGAACTAAATCCCCGGTTGTCTATTTCTATGGTGTAAATCTTGTAGCGTGTAAGAAAACAATTTGCACATTCCTTAGCGTCTGATCATCAAAAGGGACTTCGTAAAAAACAAAATTTTCGAAAAAAAAAGAAGAAGAAAAAAGAAAGAGGGCATAAATTTCATGAATTTTGGGGATTTTCTTGATCACAGCAATTCTTGTGGTGGCGCAAGAGTTGTCAGCGATTTACCTTACCACACTAATCACAAAAATATTATGTCGACCGCCGCCGCCGCCGCCATCTCTCAGCCTATGGCCGCCGCCGGGAAGCCGCCGTTCAAGTCCCCCGGCCTCTCTCTTGCACTAGTACCCACTCTCTCCCTCTCTCTCTCGCTAACTTTCACATCTAAGATAAAGAATGGTTTTTTAACATTTTTTTTTTAAATCTTTTGGGTATATGCAGCAAACGGGTATGGAGGGCGGACAAAGAGATCACCAGTTGGGTGTTAGAAATATTGGTTCAAACAATAGTAATAACAACTTTAATCATGGTGATTATGAGAATGTTCGTAATGTGAATGGCTTGGGGAGGGTTAGAAGCCGGGACGAATTGGATGTGGAGAGCAGATCTGGGAGCGACAACATGGACGGAGGCGGCGGCGGCTCCGGCTCCGGCGACGACCACGACGGCTCCGACAAACCTCCGAGGAAGAAAAGATACCACCGACACACTCCTCAGCAAATCCAAGAACTCGAAACGTACTGCCCCCTTTTTTCCCCTTTTGATTTTCTTGTTTTCAAATCATCTTTTGCCAGGAAAAGATTTTTTTTTTTCTTTCTTTATTTCTTGCTGTTTAATGAAATGAACTAATGAAGTGTTTAATATATATTCGATTNAGGTATACTCCAAAAAAAAAAAGAAAAAAAAATCATTTCTAGCCCATTTTACCAAAGACTATCCTTTTTTTATTTCCAATGAAAAATTCTCAATTTCTTGATTAATAATTTCTTGACTAATAACATGTGCACTCGCCAGACCCAGCTCGAGCGTCACGAGAACTCAATCCTCCGGCAAGAAAACGACAAGCTTCGAGCCGAAAACATGGCCATCAAAGATGCCATGCGAAACCCCATCTGCACTAACTGTGGTGGGCCCGCCTTAATTGGCGAGATCTCCCTCGAAGAACAACACCTCAGAATCGAGAACGCCCGGCTGAAAGACGAGCTGGACCGCGTCTGTGCCCTCGCCAGCAAGTTCTTGGGCCGGCCCATTTCATCCTTGGGCCCGCCCGTTCCCAGCTCGAGCCTGGAGTTCGTGGGCCTGAACAACATGCTATCCTCGGGCCTGCCATTGGGCCCGCCCGACTTCCCGGGCCCATTGCAGCCCGTGATGCCGCCGCCTCAGGTGAAAGGTACTCCGATTGAACGGTCTTTGGAGAGGTCGATGTATTTGGAGCTTGCTCTGGCGGCAATGGACGAGTTGGTGAAAATGGCCCAAATGGACGGGCCCGTTTGGGTTGGGGGGTTAGAAGGGGGATGGGATGTTTTGGACCGTGAGGAGTATTTGAGGGCTTTCAGCCCGTGCATTGGGATGAGGCCCAATGGGTTTGTGAGTGAGGCGTCGAGGGAGACTGGTATGGTTATTATCAACAGTTTGGCTCTGGTCGAGACGTTGATGGACTCGGTGAGTTGTTTGGTTCTTACAAATTAATGGGCTTTGGCCAAACTAAAAAAATGTTGATTAAATTGGGATTCGATATGTATTTTTCGAGTTCTTGATTGTGATTGGTTATAAAGATTTGATTTTTTTTTGGAAGTTTGGGGCATTTTTCTTGTTAATTTGATGAGATTATTGATTTGGGTTTTGTGTTTTGTTTTGTTTGTTGGATTAGAACAAATGGGCAGAGATGTTTCCTTGTATAATTGCAAGAACCACAACTACTGATGTAATCTCAGATGGTATGGGAGGAACAAGGAATGGTGCACTTCAGCTGGTAAGAAAAATAAATCAAAAATGTTATTTCTTTATGCAAAGCTTCTCCTAATTGTACTTAAATATTGAATCTTGTTTGGTTCCTATTTTGAATCAAGTGCTAATTGATGTGTAATTCTCTTGTCACAATTTTACAATGTGGGTAGATGCAAGCAGAGCTACAAGTTCTATCACCATTGGTTCCCGTACGAGAGGTCAATTTCCTCCGGTTTTGCAAGCAACACGCGGAGGGCTTGTGGGCCGTGGTTGATGTGTCGATTGACACCATAAGAGAAGCTTCCAATGGCGGGCCCACTTATCCGAGCTGCCGGAGGCTCCCGTCTGGCTGTGTAGTTCAAGATATGCCCAATGGCTATTCAAAGGTACTTTAATTTCAATAATTTTTCATCTTCACCTTAACATGTAGTAGTATATAATTATATGTGCATAGATAGCCATTATGATTTGTTGGCTTGTTACTTATTGCACACAGCTCCACACACACACATTGCATCATTGCTTGTTTGTTTTTCTTCACATTTATTGAGTCTCTTCATGGGTTCAATGGAGTTTGTTGAGACAACTGCACCACCTTGGAACTTAGTTGAGGGCATTTAATTGAGAAAAATCACAACCACTTTTTTTGTTTAAAAGAAATATTTATCAATGGAGTAGTTACTTAAGGTTGTAAGGACTAGTCTAAGCTGGATTTTTAAAATAACATTATTCTTGAAAAAAAAAAATAAAAAAATACATCAGTCGATCTGAGTATCAATCTGTAAAGATTGTTACTCTGCAGTCTCATGTGCTTAAAATGATTATCTGATTAACCTATCCAACTTGCTAAGTTTTAAAACTTCCCAAGTTTTGGACTAGAAATAAAATTTATGTTAAAAGAAGTTACTAAGGCTACTGATAGACAGACTTAACGATTAGGTAACCATACATTTTCAACAGATTTGTGTACTTTCGAACTTAAATGACATACTCTCAAAAAAACATAAACAAAAATATGACTGACACTCCATTATATAAGTATGCTTTTAACAAAAAAATGAATGAGGGATCAACCCCCTAACCAATCAACATATTAATTTATATAGCTTTATTGTAATATCGTTATTATAATATCGGTCTCGTGCACTTCTCAGATATTGACCTTTTGCATCTCAATAATTAATTAGTATTAAGTATTACACAAGATGCTGGTCTTGCCACAGAACCCACAATATTCTAATCTCCAATCAGCCCGTAAAATACTATATTACAATTATAATATTTATATTAACCGGGCTCAAGCTAATCGAGGTTTTACCGCAATAATATAATGTCATTAGAAGCCTCTATTTCTCCTGTATTCACTCCTTGGGACACATTAATTTCATATGATTTAGAAGCTCAAATCCTCGTAACCATCAAAGCAAAAACATGGGTTGTGATAATTGATAAACAAAGTGTTTTTGATGTTTCTATTCCAATCTCTTATGCTGTCTCGATCAGGACACCCTATAATGGCTTGATTAATTTTTATTTAATTAAATTTTTGTGTGGCCGTGTCATTTTCGGGCTCATGATGATGTGTTTT